CCTACTTCCGTAGTGATACTGCCTCGGAAACCCAAAGAGGGGTCGCTATGAGTCGGGGCCGACTAGATGGCAAATAACAACAACAACATAGGGTGGTCCACAGTGTTCACCAATGTGAAACACACATTTGTTTTTATTATCACTGTATTCATTTAATTTGTCACCATATTGAGTTTCTCCTATATCCTTTCAGTTATGGAATAAATATTTATTGAGCACTTACTAATTGTCAGTTACTGATCTAAATGCTGGGGATGTAGTCTTCCCCAGTGGAGCTGAAATTCTCAGCTTCCCTGGCAGCAAGCAGATTCACTGCCCATCTCTTATTTCCATTCCTTTACCTCTATGGAGGCAATTCGTCTCCTGTGGTCCATTAATCCATAGCATCATGTCCATCATCCCCTGCATTTGCTCCTGATCTTACCACATTCCAACCTGAACTGGCCCTAAACCTATACAGTCACTTTGAGGGAAAGAAAGGTATCCTCGAGGAACCCAGTAACCTTCAGAATGATGCCTTTAGTAAGGTTGTTCTAAAGCAAATGTTAAACAAGTCTGTTAGTGTTTCTCTTTGTCTATGTGGATGTCTTCTCTTTCATTGTGGCCTTATGTGTTGCAGCATCACCACTAGGATGTGTATGTTCAGCGATGCTGCCTTTGTTATATTTGTTAATATTGTCTAGAAATTATTATCAAATGTACATGTTGCCATGGGTGATTGACCTTCCTTAATAGTTTATAAGTAAAGTAACTGTGTGTCCTAGTTTACCAAGCAATGTCCCAGCTTATGCTTATTATCCTGACATAATTACCAATTATACCCACTTTTTATCTTAAAAGTTTCCCAGTTTGGACTGTATGTTTTATAGTCATTATGGTTTTAAGTCATTTTGAGTTTGGAGCCTCCATCATCTGTTTCATATGCACGTGCTAGCATACCTCACCAGTTAGGCCTCCCTTTGCGGTTCTAAGGAAGGGAAGACTGACCCCAGGGCCTTGACCAACTCCCTGAGAGGGAATCCCACATTTGAGGAAGAGAACTGGGGGAAGTGTATTGATGGTTGTTCCTACTCAGAGCAAGAGGCTATCAGCACGAGGATCTGGGCCTTCTGGACCAGGCCAGACGTTGATGCTCAGGCCAGCAGGGAGCTCCAGGATGTCAGCCATCAGGTATCTGGGCCTGAAACTTAAGCTCAGGGCCAAATTTCTCATCCCTGGTGGCAGGAGGAATGGCAGAAGGAACCAGGAACTGGTTAGGGTGGTTGATACCAGGGATGGTGATGAAGCACAAGCCAGAAACTACAAGGGTGGCTGACTACAAGGGTGGCTCCCATTGGAGGCTCTCAGGGAGGAGTCAGCTGCAGGGATCCAGGTGAGGAGAGGGAACCCAGGCCACGCTCCACAAGCAGTGAGGCAGGAAAGTAGGGAGAAGACAGAAAAAGCAAAGGGGACCAGAACAGATCGAGGAGTCAGCCGCAGGGATCCAGGTAAGGGTGGTTGGAGAGGTTTCCAACAGCTAAGGGTGACAAACTTGTCTGTCGGTTTGTCATACTGTGGTGACATGTTGCTGTGAGTCTTGAGGCTGTACCACTGGTGTTTCAAACCCAGTGGGTGCACATGGTGCACAGGTATCAG